AATTCTGCTCCATCTGAAAGCACGTGATGATGATTTCCTGCTGATTACAGAACCGGCTTTACTAACAAAATGCGCATGACAATCGCATTCGATTAATCTTGCAGCCCTAGTTCTGTGTGAACAGCGCGCACACAGACAGCCGCGTGAGCTGCCTGAACGGGCAAATATATACAAAAGTATGTCAAAATACCCACCCTGGCAAGTAACTTTGTAGCTTTAACAATGATTCATCTATATTGAATTTATACACTGGAGTATGTTACACATACAGACATTTTTTGTTTTATTTCAGACTATCTTCTGTTCCGTGCTTGCACACAAACTGCACTGCAATAATTTTCCCAATGGCCATTTGTGTGGTAATATTACGTTATTATTATACTTAGTCTGTCAACGGGCGTTAACAGAGGCCAGAGATGCTGAAGACGGACACAAAGAGGAGAAAATACTGTAGCAGGCAGAACAAGATCACTGTTCACGATGCGCGATATTTTTGTGCTATAGCCATAGGCCTATATTTAATTGTGCTATTACTTGTCATTTGTTCATTTGTTCTTATTTACTGGCTGTCACTTGTCTTTAATGTTTAAACTTTATATTTATGTTTATTTTTGCCTAGTGATTTTTGCTGTGGTATCGAAATTGAAATAGAGAATTACAAAATTTAATTAGTATCTAAAATATTGGTGTCATATAAGCTTATTTATTAGAATACAAGATAACAGATCAAAAACAATGATAACAGCAACTATTTTATTTTTTGTGGCAGGGCCAGTGAAAATGTTGGCAGGGCAAATAAAAATTTGAACCACTGGCCCGGTAGAAAAAATCCTTAGCGTTGATCCCTGCATTTGCAACTGGGCTGAGCCTGTATCAAATATTTATCATGTAGTCGTGATGATTTTGATGGCAAAGTAAAATTATGCAACATCATGAATAGTGTAGTGATCTTAATGCACTTTTTATTTGGTTAAGTTTCTTAAAGAGTGTGTTTGTAGTTTTGCATTTCTTTCTTGTCATCGTTTGGCAGCATTTTCATAGAGATATTTAATTAATTTCCTCATTAAACTTATGAAGCAAAAATTTGTTGAGTTGTTAGTTTGATTCATTTCTGTGAATCATTTTAAACTCGTTTAATGAATCATTTGAAAACTGATTCAGTTCTCATTTAGTTCTTACATTAAACATTATGAATAAATCATTTTGGCTCTTTGTTCAACATTTAAAATAGACTGTAAATTATAACCAATGACTATAATTAGTAGCTTTATATTGTAATCGTTTTTGATTCGAATCCATCATTCACCTTGCTTCATGGGATTATAGTTAATTCAGAAAATAGTTTAGTACCTTTGTCTTTTCTAGTGGTTTTCATTCTGCTTTTTAAGCTTCAAATCAAAGGTTGAATTATTGTGACTCATCTCGTAGCTGATTGGTTTGGTTTATGTTCATTATTAGCATCTCTGTTAAGAAGATGACTTTAAAAAAGTGGGTGAGTACTGTTAATAATGACCCCCCATTTCAAAATGAGCCATCAGGGATCATGTGATCATAAACCACACGATTACATCCTTGAAGTGACTGTTGTATGTACATACATTCTATTTGAAAATGTGCTTCGCCGATTTCGGAGACGGGAGCTCCACGCGATCAGCCAGCGCTCAGTGCTCATGTATCCCGACGAGAGCAGCCTCAACTCGGCTAGTCCTTCTGACATCTCTGTAGTGGATAAACATAAGATATAATTTGTTTTGGGTAAATCTTAATAGGTATTCTTTGGTCTTTATTCTATTAATCTATTAATGTGTTACAATTAAAATGAAAACAGGCAATGTTTGATATAATATTTCGTTTCATTGTGATGTAGGCCATGTATGTTCCCTGAACCTTTCTGCGGCTATTAATATGTTTAAATGAAAACGAAAAAGGGCAGTGGTGTTTGATATATTTCGTCTTATTGTAAATAAGAAAAAAAAAAAAAACTGTGAGGAAAATTGCAGTAGCCAAGGTGACGTTATCAAGTACGCTGCTGTTTGCAAATTACCGGACTTGCGTTGTCCCGTCCGCGGGAGTTAACACTCCTGAGTCGAACTCGCGAAGTCCGAACTACCGAGGATGCAAGTCCGAACTTGCAACAGGTCTGGGGGGAAAAAGTTCCTGGGAAAAAAAGTTCCTGGTACAATTGTTCCGGGTAATTTCGGAGGAAACGTGGCTTTATAATTTGCACCATTCATATGGAATGAGCTAGAATAAATGTGAATTGCAAGTAATATAGATTACTGTTTACACTAGCATCTGCCAAACTTTATTTATGATGTTTCATCTAAGGTTTTTGTATTAAGAGCTGTATTATAACATCTGTATCTGTAAACAAGTATAATGTACAGTGCCATAGTTCATTTACAACGCAGCCGCAATTATTTGCTAAATGACAATAAATAAACACAAGAGCAAAATGATCTCTCTTGCCGCTTGGTTCTTTTCCAATCAGGCCACTATAATGAGACTTAGACTTGCGTAAGCC